GTTTCTATGCCTCTGATTCTATTTTATTCTTCAGTTTATTTTGTTCATTAGATTTCTTATTCATTTATTTTGATTTTTAGATTCAATTGTTGATAGATGTGTATTTATTGCCATTTTATTGTTCATATTTTGTCCTCCTCCTCCTCCTCTTCTTAAAGAATACCCTTCAACATTTCACATAGTACTGGTGTGGTGGTGGTGAACTCCTTTAGCTTTTTCTTGTCTGTGAAGCTCTTTATCTGACCTTCAATTCTACATGATAGCTTTGCTGGGTAGAGTAATCTCGGTGGCAGGTCCTTGTTATTCATCACTTTGAGTTTGTCTTGCCACTCCCTTCTGGCCTGCAAATTTTCTGTTGAGACATCAGCTGACCCTCATATGGGCACTCCCTTGTAGGTAACTAACTGCTTTTCTCTTGCTGCTTTTAAGATTCTATCTTTAACGCTGGGCATTTTAATAATGACTAGGGGCCCAGTGCACGAATCCGTGCACCTTGAAAGGAACTGTGGGCTGCGAGGCTGTGGTAGGCAAAAGGGCAGGTCTCGGCCCATCCTCCACGCCCCCGCCCAGCCCCTCCGGCCGAGGCCCCCAGTCCGCTGTTTGCCGGCAGCCCCACTCCTGCCGTTACCGCTCCCACGTGCTGACAGTGCGGAGCAATTGGGGCTGGCGCCATCACTGAGTGCCAGCGGCGCTGCTGCCCCGATTGCCCCTCAGGAGCAGGGGGAGGTGGAGAAGCACTCAGGGGCGATTGGGGCCAGCAGCCGCCGCTTGCACCCACAGACGGCGCAGAGTGATCGGGACCGGTTCCGGGTGCTGGCAGCAGGTGCGAGCGGTGACTGCCGGTCCTGATCATCCCTCAGGAGCAGGAGGAGATAGAGAGTCCTGAGGGGCTATCAGGGCCAGCAGCTGCTGCTCGTACCTGCTGACGGCACTGAGCGATGGGGGCCAGCAGTGGGTGCAAGCGGCGGCTCCAGCGCTGGCAGCAGGTGCGAACAGGGCCGGCACCCGCAGCAGGTACGAACACCGGGCAGGACCGCGGCGCGCAGGAGCAAAGAATTTTCATTAACCACCAGAAGCTTGCCCCGATGACAGCAACCGGTGCCCTGCCTTGGTTTGGCGCCCCACCTTGGTCTGGCGCCGCCGCTCACCTGCTCCACCATCCCGCTGCTGCAGCTGACGTAATAGCGACCAGTTGTTCAGTTGTTCCGCCGTTCAGTGTATTTACATATTAGCCTTTTATTATATAGGATATGTCTGGTGTGGGCCTCTCTGGGTTTCTCTTGTTTGGGACTCTGTGCTTCTTGGACTTATAAGTATATTTTTTTCACCAGGTAGGGGAAGTTTTCTGTCATTATTTCTTCAAATAGGTTTTCAAAATCTTGCTCTCTCTCTTCTCCTTCTTGCACCCCCATGATGCGAATGCTGGTACACTCAAAGTTGTCCCAGAGACTCCTTACACTATCTTCATATTTTTGGATTCCTTTTCTTTTTACTCTTCTCCTTGGGTGTTTTTTACTTCCTCACATTCCAAATCTTTGATTTGATTCTCAGAATCCTCTACTCTACTGTTGAATCCCTGTAAATTGTTCTTTATTTCAGTTAATGTATGCTTCATTTCTGACTTTTTTTTTAGGTCTTTGACATTCTCACTAAAATACCTGAAAGTCTCACTAAGTCCTTTGAAGATCTCATTACGAACCTTGAGTAACCTTATAACCATGATTTTGAACTCTGTATCCAGTAGTTTACTTGCTTCCATTTCTTTCATTTGTGACATGTTTCTTTGTCTCTGCATTTTGGCTGCTTCCCTGTGTTTGTTTCCATGTATTAGATAGAGCTGTATGTCTCCTAGAATTGGTAGAGTGGCCTTGTGTAGTAGGTGTCCTGTAGGGCCCAGTGGCTCAGTCTCCCCAGTCACCTGAGCTGGGCACTCTAGGTGTGCCTGTGTGGGCTGTGTGCAGTCTTGTTGTAGCTGAGCCTTGACTGGCATCACTAGGAGGAATTGGTGTCACTGGGAGGGATTGGCCCCCAGGCCAATTGGCTGTGAGGACCAGCTGCATCTACAGTGGAAGAGCTGCTGTCCTATAGAGCAGGACTTGCTCACTGAATCTGCCTCTTGAGTGTGTCGCTTGTGAATGCGTAGAATTGTAATCTGGTATGGTCTGAAGCTGCCCATTGGGTGCACTGGCTCTGGGGCCTCTTGGGAGGTACAAAGTCAGTCACTGCCTGGGGCCACCCAGCAGGAGCTACAGAGAGATCTGCAGATGGCTGCTACTTGTGTTGGGCTAGGAACTGCCCAGGCAGGGCCCAACTGTGAGGCAAGACAGGATGGTGCTAGTGCCAGGTCTTTGGCCTTTTATTGATAGGTCTGGGGCATGCTGACTCCAGCTGCTGCTTGTTTAAGAGATTTTATCCAAGCCTGAAACCGGAGCCAGGACTGGCCATTCATGTGGGAAAACAGCTGCAAACAGCTTAGATGGGGCTGCAAATTGGATGGGGCAGGGATCTCAGGGAATCACCAGGATGGAGCGAACAGTATGGGCCACGCTGATGGAAACTCAGATATGGCTGCCAGTCAGCTCTGTGATACGGGATGTCCCAGCACAGTAACAATGACCCCTGCAAGCACGCCTGTCTGGGAGGAAACCACCCAGCACTCTTGCTGCAATGTCGATAGTCCAGTTCCTCCCCATATGTCCCTGGATTCTCCCAAAGCCTCCACCTGGCTCTGGAGCTCAGAGGAATCGGGACCATGTAAGTTCATTCACCGGCCCTTTAGGAGGAGCACCTGGGTCTCCAGCAGCCTCCATGTCACTCAGCTACAATCCCTGCTGGTTTTACAGCCTGAAGTTACGGGGATTTCTCTTCCCAGCTCTGGAACCCTGGGCTGGGGCCTGGTGTGCTGCTGGGATCCCCTGCTTCTCACGGGAGGCCTTGGAGATATCACGTTCCGATTAAAGAAACACCACCCATGGGTGTTGGACCAGCCCCTCCTACCAGCCTCAATGCACGTTCTTCTTTACTTCTCTAGTTGTAAGACTTCCATTCAGTCAGATTTCAGGTGGTTCTGAATGATGGTTGTTCTGTATTTTAGCTGTAATTGTGATGTGGTTGTGGGAGGCGGCGAGTACCATTGTTTACCTACACTACCACCTTGGTTTTCTCAATAAAAAAATATTTTTTAAAAATAGAAAAACTATATACCAGTGGTTCTCAACCTTCTGGCCCTTTAAATACAGTTCCTCATGTTGTGACAACCATAAAAAATTATTTTCGTTGCTACTTCATAACTGTAATGTTGCTACTGTTATGAATCGTAATGTAAATATCTGATATGCAGGATGGTCTTAGGCGACCCCTGTGAAAGGGTCGT